ACGATTGGACTTTTTGTTAATTCTAAGGAAATATACGTACTCAAAATTTTCTTAATTTCATAATCTTCATTTCTCATTCTTTTTCTCGTGTTCAAAGTAGTGATACTTTTATAATAATAAAGTCATTCGAGGAATTTGATCAGAGACGCAATTTTTCGTAATAAATTTACTCTCTTATTCTTCTTCAAAACAAGGATAATTGCTTGCCAAAGTCATGGAAAATGCTTTCAAAGAGCACGTTAAAGTTCTAGAAAGTCGCGCTAATGTGTACAAGAATCGTCGCGCGCGTAGATCCTCGCAAATGATAAACATAGTTAAAATTTCGATTTTATTAGATCATCACGCGGTCTTCTTTTCATTTAAAACTCTCCATGCTAGGGAAGATGCTGCTCGTATATATTCCGAATGGATGGCCACGAGTAATTCTCAGACATTCCTCGGTCCACAGTTTTAGTTTGGGCGGAGTATGCTCAAATTGGCGCCACACCAAGCAATCTAGAACGGTTATTAGGAATTCCGCCCTTAACGATTTTATTTCTATGGCACTGACGCGTAGTACCAGGTCGTTAAAATACTTGAAATAAGGCTACGATTCAGTCCAAGCCGATAATCTTGGGCTGACTGTGATTAATCAATATATTGTACTTATATTGTACAATATGTCTCACTTACGTTTAATTTGCACGATAAATTTTCTTTATTGCATGGCCTGCTGTCAGTTTCTAGCTGTTATTCTCTTCTCAAAAATATTCTACAATGTTTTTACAATGTTTTCCTCCTAGTTGTAATTCAAATTCAACATTTTGTAACATGTGTACTTTTTTGAGGTACATTTCCTTGTTTTCTTTAATAAAGAAAATTTAATTCTAACAATAAATTTAAATAATAAAATTTAATTTATTTAAATTTAATCTACATTCGATTTTCATTTGTTTCGACGTCGGATTTGAATGTATTCAAATTAAGAACGTATTATAATCAAAATTTGGAAACAAACGTAAATCTTGTTCTATCATCTCGTGCTTTGCGTATTTTTCTGCGTCAAGCAGAGAAATCTCAATTTTCTCAAGTTTTTCACGAGCAATGTTCCTTGCACTATCTTCGAAATCCCGTCTGTCTGCAACGACTCGCGCCATTCCCCAACGAACAGAGAAAGAAGAGAAGCAAAAAAGAAAAGAAAAAAAAAAGAAAAAGCAAACGTTCCAATCGACTAGCGCGACTCGAGCCAACGATTTCGATTCATAGCCAGTGCGTCCGTTCGTCGATCCCAAACGCGGCACGATATTTCACGAAATCACTTTACCACCCGCGGTTCATTTCCAGGTCACTTGGCAGCTCCGTTTGAACGGAGAATCCTCGGTTGGCCAACGAAAATCTATAGACTTTCCAATCTAACCTGAGAGCGAACCTGTCTCTCCGAGAGAGAGACTTATCACGCTCGTAATTCATGCGAGAATTAACGGAGTCTTCCATCCCCTTTCGTATCACTCTGCATATTATTCCACACGCAGTCTCTTTCACAAGTGCTACGACACCTTTTGGTTGTTAGTTTCCTGTGAAACGTGATAAATGATCCACATTGTTTGGAAAATAATTGATGAGTTAAAATTTGTATTGTACTTGATGTAAAGTGAACCTATGATATATGAACATAGTATATGATGTATCTGTATGCTTATGGGGATAATTCCTTGTGAAGAAACAAATCGAAAGTGTGGAGTAAAATTTTTTTCTCCTGAGACATTCTCGTGTTCGAGAAAGTCGAATTGAAAAATTTATCAAAGCAATTTACCAGGACAATTTTTAATGAAACATATTTAGTCTATTTTCTTTAAATGAACGAATTTTTATTCTTGGTCCGTTTGTGCAGGTAGAATAACTTTAATAACTGTTGACTATTCTTTTCTGATATACGTTCAGAACTAAAGAAAGTCAAGTATACTTGGTAAATTTTTAAACTAAATTTTCTCGAAAATTTTATTTCTATATCATGCGATATTTACGAGTTAAGATATCAAGTTCGTAAAAAAGACGATCTTTCCGAATTTTTTAGATAACAACGCACTTTGGATCGCTAATATTCTAAATTATTATAATAAATTATAATAAAATTATAATAAAACGGAAATAAAATTTGCAGTCAAATGTTTCATTACAAAAGAATATAGGATTCGGATTGATCCTCGCCCTTGTTCCTCGATTTTCTCGCTTTTCCGATGGAGGTCAGGAATGTGGCAGACGGCCAAATTCGCCGGCGCTCATGCTCCGAGATCATTATAAATGCGGTATTCATTTAATGTTCCCGCCATCATCACCTAATAGCAATATCCTCGCGGATCATAGGTGCCGACTGCCGTTCTTAATCGCGAGTTATATGTTCGTGAAAGAGCCGCTCGTTTCGGGGTGGGGGGGGGGGGCATAAATTCGACGAAGATTATTATTGTTTTTAGTTAACTGAACCGAAACTGAGGACGAGATTCTATCTCCAGGGAGATGGAAACACAGCGAGAGTCGTTAATTATTAACGTCAATTGTTAATCAGTAATTGTTAAAAGGATTACTCGTGAGATCTAATTTGAAAGATCACTGTAATGAGAACACGTGATCGTGTGGGGATGAGAGTCATGATCGCAGAGTATGCACGTGCACGTGCATGGAATAATTGATAGGGAAATTAATCAGTTAGCGACTGATTTAATTGTTCGATCGCAAATGGCCCTAATGCAACGGTTCGTTGTCCCGTAAAGAGCAATTAAGCAACGCCGGACTGTGTCCAATTCTCGAGAATTCGACTGCTCGTACCAATGATAAATCTTGACCCCTGCGTCGTTTCGCTGGATATTCAACCGTTGTTACGCCGGCTTTGATTAAGCGCGAGTTAATCGTTTCTGGATGAGTCGGTGAGATACGCCATTTATAATGACTTCTCAGCGGGAACGCCACTTCGCGATGGGACGGTTTCAGAGATATGTAAGAAATTGTTGATTGATATTGAAGCATTATTTTCTCGATACATCGATTATACTCGATTCGTTTCAACGTGCTCGATCGGTACATGTCTTTTATCCTACGTACTAAACGCTATTTTTATTACACTTTTTAAATCTTCTGTGACATTTGCACATACGTACGTATATAAACGGGGACAAATATTATTTCCATTGAAAAATTAAATATAGACGAAGTTTGGAAAAGTAAATTGAAAAAAAATGAGTGTCTTCAAAATACGCGATGTTACGTGAAATATTTTCGACAATTTAATTATAGAGAAAATGCGAGATATCCTTAATTTTCATTTAAAACGTTGATAATTCTGTAATATTAATTTTTAAATGATTTTAAATCTTCTATATTCTATAACACAGTTGCTCAATTTTTTCTTCGGCAACATTCGAAAGCGTGTAAAAAAAAAAATTCATTGAACATTGAATGTTACGTTATGTTGAATTTCACGTACTTTGTAACTGAATAAATATGATTTTAGCCTTCTGACATTTATGCTGTTGCATATCGTACGAAGAATCGTACATACGAGCTCACCTAACTCAAACCTTGAAATTGTCTGTTAGTTTATTGTGCAGATAACATGGCGGACCGCCAACTTGCGAATATTTTGTAAGTTTGCTAATTGCTCTCGTAACGATCACGCCGGCATAGACCGCGTAGTTTCCATCGTGTGATGCGGGGCAAGAAATTTATATCAAAGCTAATAACACTGCATTCACGGTCTCTTCCTCCTTTCGAAACGACGTTGTACCTTCATTAGACTCTGTACAAAATGTATAACGGGGATATTAATTAAGGGTTCATTAATTTCAAACGGAAGTGACTAACTGAGGTTTACAAACGATAAAGGGATGCCGCTTTGAACTCGATGGATGCAGTTAAGAACGTATGTTAGAGATAAATAATAACTTTAATCTACATTTCTAATTTTAAACCCTTTCATTTCTCGCTTCTCAATCTCTCGTATCGTTAAATGTTTGTTTGTATGGATTGAAATCTAATAAAAACAATTGACGATTCACCTTTTTCTCTTTCGGATAAAATTAAAACGAGTTTGATGAAAATATTTAACGATTTAATGATTTAATAATTAGGTTAATTACATTTACTATTTTTTATCAGAGCAATGATTATTTACTCACGTAAAAGGAGAGTCCGATAGCACAATAATCAGTCTTGAGATAATTAATATTCCACTTTAAATTTCGTTTCATTTTGTGCATTAAACCTTGACAACAAAGTATTATTATTAAGTATTACATCGTCCAGATGCTTATCAAAACAATGCAGACCTCTCCCATTATTCTCGCTTAAAATAGAAATTCACTTTATCAGTTTCGCCGAAAAATATCGTACGAACCTCAACAAATTCACAAGAGCCTCAATAAAAATAATACACATAATATATTGAAACACATAATTATAATGCACGTAATACAAATTCAAATACTTTCGTGAGCTACACTATGTACAATGAATTGTAACACACGTAGTTTTTTAATTCCATCTTTATTGAATATTTCACCACTATATTCCACTATATCACTATATACTCCTCCTTCTTCTTATTCTTACGCTATTGTTATCAAATAACGCATGATGATAAAATAAATGAGCAGATGAAAGGAAAGCAAGAGAAATATCGTCCCCTATGAAAAACAGTCTGCGTTTATACGTCGTACGATGCGATCTGCAAGGCTGTACAGAAACTAAACAACTCAGGATATAAAATACAGAGTACAGAGTATCGAACAGATGTCCCCATCGAAGTGTCGGATAAATAAGTAAATAAATAAATAAATGTGGAAAGAGAGAGAAAGAAATGTCGTCGCGTGGGGAGGCCATGCTCGATTGGTATCAAAAACGACCTCCGATTCCACGACTGCCACCTGTGTGTACGTGAGCATATACAAAGGGTTCCTAGGGGAGTGCGGGGACGCGCGCGCGCGCGCGCCATCGAGCATCCGTATGAAACCTGCGCGCCACGAGGTAAAGCCGCCAGTGCTATTCGTCGCCGCAGTGCGATACGGTCGATAGAAGAAAACGTGGCCGACAGTCTCCGGTGGTTGCAGCTGCCGCAGACACCGTCGCGTCGTTTCTCGTTCCCTTCAGCCCCAACGTTTCCAACAATTTCCCCGGAAATATCGCCCTTCGACGCGTATTCTTCTCCCTCGTTTCACCCCTCTCTCGGCAGCTACTGCGTCGAGGGTGGCTACGCTTGAGCACGCTTCATTCCGCTTCGGAATGTCGCGCGTACAACGTCATGACGCAGGAGCGTTCGGCTAGGAACTCCTGTGAACATGACGAGGTAATCAGTGTACAGTGTACCGATCGGGTACAGTGCTAGGCGAGCAACAATCGTTAACAATCGACTTGTTCGCGAGATGGTCTCGTGTTTGTCAGTGTTGTTTCTGGCTCGTGTTCGAGACGATGCTTCCTCCCTTCTTGATTCTGCTCTGGAGAAACAAAGTTAGAGATCACGCGTGAAGTGGATAAAATTTGGATTAAATTTTGGCCTGTGTTACCATTCTTTTCAAAATATGTATACCACGTTCGATAGGTATATAGAATGAGAACAGTTTATCTTATCTCTGTGTTTCGATTCTCCTTTAAATCTTTCATGATCCACAGTCTATACGTACGTGGGTATAATACACATTGTTTCCGGCATTATAGCTCATATGATCATTACAACTTATCGACATGAAATGAATTAAAAAAAAAAAAGAAAAATACAGATAATCCTATTGTTATATCGAACACGAGCCAAAAACAATCGACGTTTGAGACGAATCGAGTGGCTGAAATTGTTTCCAGTAGCTCGTTGGAGCCACGCGATCACGAGCACGCCGGAAGAAGCGAGGAGGACGTGCACAGGTGCGGAGGTGCACAGACGATTCCGTGTGGTTGGAAACGCGCGTGCCACCGCTGATCTATAATCGCTCGCGCTAACGTAAACGATCGTGAAAACACGGCTGCGTTGCGAGCCGTGACATTGGACTCTCGTACATACAATCTGTTTACGTGCGCGGTGGCTTACGACAGAGCTCAACAGTCAGCGTCCACCGTCGCGAGCGCCGCGGCGAAAATCGCGCGAACCGGCATCCCTGACCTTCACGCGATCGCTCGTCAATTACCGTCGACCTCTGAATTTAACGAGTCAGGTAGACAAGTGGCAACCGCTAGTTGCCAGTCAGTTCGTAACAATCGCGTGAGTCACACTCGACGATCGTGTTGCACGTGGTGTCGATCGAGGTTCAAACAAGTGCACGAATCGGTCTTTGGACATTCGTCGTGAATTCTCAGTTGTCGTCCCGTTTGAAAATCCACGCGTTTAAGATAAAAGATCGTGATTATTTTCACACACAACTCGAACTCCGAACGTTCGGTGAATTTACACGAAAGTTTCGACGAGATTGATAATCGCGCTCGAGTCAGCAACGTGACCAGCCTTCCATTGAATCGTTTCCACCCCTCCGTTTCCAACGATCGACGTCGCGATTCTCGAAGGATCGACAGTCTGTGCAGTGGGCGGATTGGCGCCGCCGGGGGTTGCCCGATCGATTTCAGCCTCCTCTCGAGGATGTTCCGGCCCGACGTAGCGGTTCGAGTTTTTACGTAGCAGTCACGTGCCAAGAAGCGTAGTGTGCGCGCTGTGGGGGTCGGAGGGGGGCCGTTTTGTGGCCGTCGCATCATCGAAAGGGGGACACAGCAAAGGGGTGGAGGAGAGTTTTCCCGGTACCTCGACATCGTTGTGGAAAATCGATGGCGGCCACCCCCGTTGCAACCCGGCGCGGTGCAATGACCTCCAAACCGGGAAGGTCCTACAGCATGAGGTAAGAGGATCGCTCTCCGGCTGGGGAAAATGAGTGGGAATAAAGGGGTGGCGGGGGAGAGACGAGAGAGAGAGAGAGAGAGAGAGAGAGAGAGAGAGAGAGAGAGAGAAGCGGAGAAAATAGCTGGAGTGGTACCTCCCTTTTGCCATACGTCCCGACGTCTGCGACTTTCGCTGCCACGATGTTTTTCTCTATTTCACTTCCGGCCGTGTCTTTCCGTGGCTGAGATTTTAAGACGGTCTAAAGTTGAAGCGTCGACTTTCACGCTCGTGCGGCGACACGCCGCTGGGATTTACGACGCGCCGTTTATAGGAAAACGATCTTTCCATTCTCGTGGCCTGCGAGTTTGGCTTTTCGGTCGCGTGAATGTTGCACGCATGTCCTCTTCGATTTTTCGTCTCGCTCTCTCACTCTCTCTCTCTCTCTCTTTTTCTCTCTTTCGTTCTCTGTCCCGTATGCGATCGCGCCTCCTCGTTTAAGCTCACGAGGGATGAGGAAACACCGGCAAAATCACGGTCGCGACGCGCCACGTTGCTCCCCAAATGGCTCAATGTGCCTCCGTATTTTACAGAATGGCGTCCATTAAATGCGAGGATAGGTAGTTGAGAACTATGTTGAAAAATGTGAGAGTTACATTTGCATTAAGTGTATAAAAACTAGTAACTTCCCTGTAATTTAGTATTCGGTATATTTTTTATTCGATTTTTAGATTGTTTGATAGTTTCATTGATTTTCTAATTTTAACACGAAGGATATTGCGATATAAAATATAGCTAGAGGTACGATTGTTAAGTCAAACAGTATTTTAATATTTTCATATATACATTAATATTACGGCAAGCAAGTTCTTTTCTCAACTACGATAATTCTAAAATCGGAGGATTAATTAATATTGCACTGAATTTTGTAATTGCTTTCTTGTGCAAAATGGAACATATGATTTATAACATTCTCCGCTAATAACTTTCAGATTTTATGTACGCAAGTACGTATATAGTCATTGCGTGTATACATGCTTGTACAGCGGAATTAATTTTACGGATCGTAAAATGGGGACAGTGGAAGTATCGTGTATGTATTATCGAGCAAGTGTCACGTATTTTTTCAAGTGTAAAAAAAAAAATTCCTTTCTTAAACAAGACTGACGTTTTTCACCATTTCTAAAGAGCACAGTCAAACGTGCTGGCCGTGCATCTATTTTTTTCTCTTTTTCAAGAAACCAAAGTTCCTTTGAATCTTATCCATATTCCTTTGCATAAAACTGCCTTTATTCTTCCCTCGACGCCTATTATACGATTCCTCTTTAAAATTAAAAGCGTTATTCAAACAGTGAAAAATGTAAGCTACACTTAACGTAATTACGTTGTAAATCTTTCATCATGGAGGAAGCAATTTTCTCAATATCCTGATACTAGTTCTCTGAGACACGCGTAATTACGAATCGATTGCAGATATATCGTCGAGTGTCTAATAATCATAATTTCATAGAAAGGAGATACCAGCGTGAAGGAAGGTCAGGAAGATCGATCGTTTCTTTCGTTTTCGTATCGAGCTTCCAGTTCCATTAATTGCTAATAAAAGAATCAAAAAGCTTCGATACGACTTCATTCGTGATCGTGTTACAGTGAATGACTCTCTTTCATTTGCAATGTTAATACAATCGAATCTCCAATATCCCAGCCATATAATAAGAATGGAAACCTGCGTTTCATAGTAGAACAATTACTTCTTTGATATTAAGTTTCATTTACTTAGAAAATTGCCAAGTTCTTTTTTTATCTGAAAATGGAGATCCACTCTATCACACTATCTGTGATAAGACTAATAATAAATTCATACGCTGTTATAACTGCTATATGTATCTGCTATCCATCAAAAGATTTACTCTATTACATATAGTGTAATAAAAATATCATACATTGCAAAACATGTTGTTCATCACTTTTCTTTATTAATATTTTACACAATATTAACATTCTCGAAACTAACTTTTATAAATTTTTCTGTTGTCTCCTAAATCACAAATATGATATAAATTAGTGTCATAAAATTTTATCATTTGACAAGAATGAAACGGTCTGTTTTTATTAAAAAAAAAAAAAAATAAAATAAAATAAAATAAACTTCGTAAACCTAACCCAAACCATAGAACTTCTTCTTTCAAATATCTTCAATGACTTAGCAGGGACACACTTACATCATTTCTGTTCGCTGTTCAAGTCTAACGTATTATGAAATAAATTTAGAATTTTCCTCGATTTTCGTTTCCTCGCGGAGATAAGCTATGGCGGATGCGCGGCACTTAGGCAAACAGCGACGCCGCGTGAAACTTTTTAATTTGCCAGGGAATCGACCAGTCGACCCGCGAACTGACTGGCGGATAATTATTATTTCAGTCTGTGAAAGGGACCTTTCATACGCTACGTGGCGAGATCTTCGCCACGGCGAGATTATTCCCTCGACTAAAGGATATTTCTGACCGAGAATGTGCAAAACTATGCCCGACAACTCGTTTCTGCGCGATCTCATTCGGAGAAACGTATTGAGTGGAACAATAACCCTTTTGTGTCAAACTCTTCTCTAACGGAGACTGTTCCCTGTCTCAGTCTCGAGATTACAAAGGTAGTAGGTAAGGTAATAGTTTAGTAGGTAGGTAAAGTAATTTAGTAGATACGTAAATGTTTGGCGACAGTTGGGTTGAAAATCGATTATGCATGATAACGTAATAACGAGATCTGTGTATTGTCTTTTTCTTTCTCCTTTTTACAAACGATTGATCGTAGTAGGACATTACAAATTAAAATAGGTACAAGAGAAAATATAGATTTGCTGTCTGACATTTTTCTTATTTTTTGCTTTTTTCTTTATATATATATATATAAATGTAATTTATTTATATATATATAAATGTAAACATGTAATATTTATGTAATAATTAAATTTAAAATTTAATTTCGAATATAAAAATTTTATATCAGTGCAACTCAGCAAAGCAGCTCGAATCAACTCTCGATTATATTCTCAATCTATGAACTTTATAATTTAAATAAAATAGTAGTTAGTAATATTTATCTCTCACTAAAATTTGAAAGTCTGCATTTCTCGCATTTAATATCAGAAATACAGACTCGAAACAAGTCCGTTTGAAATTCCTCCTCGTCTTATTATGCTTTCAGAAAATTAACTGGACTGAACAACATTTTAGAAGTTTCGTGTTAAAATGCATCCATACATCGAACAGTATTATTCTTCCCAACACTTCAAATCTGCCGTTTTTACAAAAAGACGCGAGTTTGCATCAGTTTTTGTCAAACGACATTAAAACCAACGTTTTCACACCCTCGTACGAAATGTTCAATTCATTTCACAATTTTTACTTGTTTTTTTTTTTTTTTTTGCCCCTTGTTTCGTATCCGGTATATTTGCCAGCGTCAATCAATAGTTACAGTAAGTTTCGTTCTTTGCTTTTCTCTTTCGGATTCTCGCTTAATTTCTCGATGTATTTCCGGCTCTGGGTGTTCCTGCAGATACCTCGAGACACTGCGTGCAGTCGTGAAAGAGAGTGGGGAAAAAGGAAGGGAAGAAAAAGAAGTTGTTTCTTGTTAGTAGAGCGTTACGCGACGAAATCGAAAGATTTACGGCATCGAACAGGAACTAGGAACTCTAGTGGTTAGAGCTTCGTTTGAATAACGCTGTTATTCGTATCTTCTTGGCTCACTTGGCTGTATGTAAATACGTATATATTGTTCTTTTTTTTTTCATCGAGTTCTTATGTCGAATCACTTACTTTCGGAGACCTTCGCTGCTAAGTTTGGTTACAATACAGTCCCATACGGTTATATCGTAAACAAGTCGTTTCCGTGTTCAATTTCATTCCCTTTATGGGTTTTCCCTCGTCGGGTTTTACGCACTACCAATAAATCGCAAAAAATCTCGAAAAATTTAATCTAAAGCTGTTTGGAAGGTCGAAGGTGATCTTGTAAATTTTTGGAGTACTGTTCGATCTGCGCTACTATTTTTTTTTTTTTTTTCATAAAAATAACGTAACTATTATTTTTTTTTTTTGAAAGACATTTCTCGATTGTCTACGATGAATAATTTATATCGAAATTATTGTTTATCGTCACAAAAAACGAAATAAATACATACTATCAATAATATCAAGTAACGTTAATATGTTAAATACTAAATCACATTGATCAACAATAATTTTCTTATTAACACAGAGTATCATATATTTACTCTGATGATGAAAGAGCAACAAACTAAAAGCTACTAATTTAAACGTTCATCGTTTGAGCAATCTAAAAATTTCCATACATTTTTAGAAGCTCGTTAAAGTACAACTTTACTGTCAGAAGAACCTTATCAAGAATAAATTCGTCATTTTACAAATTCTTTTGTACAACGGCAATTTTGACAAAGTTACGTACAAAATTCGTTTGAACAGCGAATCTGTTTGGAGAATTCCACTTGCTGGGCTCGCAAATAACAACGTTTTCCCACGTAATAAATCATCGCGCGCAGGTGAGTAAAAACGAGACGTTCAGAATGTTCTCGGTGTATCTTTGAAGAGGAAACGATTCCACTCGGGGCGCGCGAACAATAAGTATATTCATATCGTCGTTGATACGTACACACATTTGTTGCTGTTGCCGCATACTCATATTCAAAGGCAATCTCCCGAGGAGAAAGGTGCGGCATGGGAATGGCCAGTTGCGTTTTATGCACCTCGCGATTCCCTTTCTATTACTTATTCATCGTTACCGGCTCGTGGTATCGATCCCCTTGAAATCGTTTATCCTAATTGACTAACATTTAGAGCAATGAGGAAACGATTATGAACCACCATTTATGAACCGCATTATTATTCATCTTTGAAATATGCAAGTTGCTCGTGAGAATGCTTTATCAATATATTATGTATGTTACGTAAAACATTCTGAAACTTCATTACTGATACCGTGGTGAGAATCAACTGTTTGTTTCAAATTGGCCAG